GGGGGGGGGCCCCCAGCGGCTCCATCTGCCGTGGTGTGGGGGACAGCAAAGCACGGCCAGACCCACCAGCAGCTGCTGGTGCCACCAAACCCCCTGTCCTGACCGTATCCCCCTCCGTCCTCCCGGGGTGCCCGTGCGGGTGAGGGTCCGGCCCTCGCCTGCCCCGAGCAAGAGATGGGAGACCAGGAGAAGTTGATTTCTCATCAGAGGGAAAATAAATAATGGAGTCCTATCCCCTTCCTGTGGGGGACACACGGACAAGAGGGGCAGACCCCAGGGACTGGGGGGGACAGTGGGGGACAGTCCGGCGGGGAAGGCACTTCGGTGATGGGACCCCTCCGTGGAGGAAAGCCGAGCAGGAGCTGGTATGCGGGGGCTGAGGGCAGCAGGTCCAGGAGAAGCAGGGAGAGGAGGGGGCTCGGGCCAAGGTGCCAGGGAGGGAGCCACAGGGAGATGTCACCACTGGCACGGTCGGAAGCATCTGGAGGAGGGAAAGGGGGAGATGTCAGCCCCCAGCCGGGGGGGCTGGTGAGGAAGGGGACGAGGGGCTGCAGCAGGACCCTGCGGGTCCAGAGGGAGCAGGGATGACAGCGACCGGCGTGGGGAACACGGAGCCGAAATCCAGACCCCAGAGCACCACAGAGCCCCAAGCGCTGCAGACCACCGAGCAACATGGAGCCCCCGAGCGCCACAGAGCCCCGAGCACCGCAGAGCCCCGAGCACCGCAGAGCCCAGGCCGCCGGCCGGCCCCCACTCAGCACCCGGTGCCCAGCGCCCCCAGCCCCAAAGGCAGCAGCAGAAACCAAAGCCAGCGCAGATCCAGTCCCCGGCATGGGGACACAGGGTCCCACGGGCAGGCAGAGCAGCCCAGGCAGGGCAGGGTGGCAGGGCCAGCCCGGCCGTGCCTGCCCGCTGTCCCCGAGCCCTCCAGGGTCCCGTGGCCCCGCGGTGGGGATCCCCGGCCTCCCGACACTTACAGACCACAGCCCCCGCCTTGGGGTCTACTTTAGCCCCACGGAAAGGCCGATGATGAGGGCGACTATCCCCAGCAAGAGCACCACTACCACCGCCAAAATCAGCATCTTCTGGAGGGGACGAAAGGGGAGATGGGGGCCGGTTACGCCTACCCCGTGCGGGGGGGATGGAGAGCAGAGGTGGGCACAGAGGAGGCCAAAAGAGCCAGAGATGTTGCAGACCCGGGGACAGGGCAGGAGGAGCTGAGCCCCTACCAGCTCATCACACCTGGGGGTAGGAGGGGGTTCAGGGCTGGGGCTGGCAGGGGGACAGAGAGGGACAGAGCTGCCAACCACGTGGAGGTCATGCAGGGACCAGTTGGGATGGCTGGGGGTTGCTGGGGGCAGGTGGGAGCCATTGGGGTCATCTGGGGGACCACTTGGGGTAGCTGGGGACACAAGGGGCAGTTGGGGGACAGAAGGAGTGGCTGGGGGACACAAGAGGTCGCCAGGGTCACGGGAGAGGCTCAGGGCTACTGGAGGGTATGGGGAGATACTGGGGGCACTGGGCAATGTGAAGGCACACTGAGGGGCAGAGGGGGACGCTGGGGGTGCCTTTGGGATGTGGGGGGCTATGGAGGGGACAGCAGGGGACACTGGGGCCGTCAGTCCGTCTCACCCTCCTGGCCTCACTTTGGTACTTCACGGCCTTTTTGGTGTCAGCCACGGCCCGCTCCACGAAGCCGACGGACTGGTCCATATTGTTCTCTATGCGGTCGATCATGGCTCCCTACGGGGCGCGGGGGCGGCGGAGCGGAGGCAGAGAGAGACAGAGAGAGAGGGGGGGGGGGACAGACACAGGCTGAGAGCACCCAAGGGTGCTGGCTGGCACCCACCCACCTTGCGCGCCTGGCCCTGGTACTGGAGCGCCTTTTTGGTCTGCTGGTTGGCCAGCTCCACGTGCTCGGCCGTATGCATCACGTACTGCTCCACGTTATCCAGCAGCCCACCCTGCGGGGACAGGAGAGGGGTCACGCTCAGCAGGGACCCCGTGGCGCAGTCCCATGGAGCGTGGCACAGCCCCCCGGTGCAGGTACTCACCCTTCCCCGGTGCACACAGTGGCTCCTCGCATTGCATGGGGGGGACAGAGAGGGGCTGAGAGAGGGGCCGGGACCACCACGGTGTGGGGAGCACCCCTGCCCACCCCTGCCTGCCCCCCCAGGCCCCCACGGGCTCGGGTGCCGGGGAGATCCCTGCTCGTCCCCATGCACAGATCCCTGCTCGTCCCCATGCACAGATCCCTGCTCGTCCCCATGCACAGATCCCTGCTCGTCCCCATGCACAGATCCCTGCTCGTCCCCATGCACAGATCCCTGCTCGTCCCCATGCACAGATCCCTGCTCGTCCCCATGCACAGATCCCTGCTCGTCCCCATGCACAGATCCCTGCTCGTCCCCATGCACAGATCCCTGCTCGTCCCCATGCACAGATCCCTGCTCGTCCCCATGCACAGATCCCTGCTCGTCCCCATGCACAGATCCCTGCTCGTCCCCATGCACAGATCCCTGCTCGTCCCCATGCACAGATCCCTGCTCGTCCCCATGCACAGATCCCCACCCATCCCCATGCACAGATCCCTGCCTGTCCCCATGCACAGATCCCCACCCATCCCCATGCACAGATCCCTGCCTGTCCCCATGCACAGATCCCTGCTTGTCCCCATGCTGCTCCATGCACAGATCCCTGCTCGTCCCCACGCACAGATCCCTGCTCATCCCTGTGCTGCTCTGTGCACAGATCCCTGCTCATCCCCATGCGCAGATCCCTGCTCATCCTCATGCACAGATCCCCACCCGTCCCCATGCACAGATCCCTGCCTGTCCTCATGCACAGGTCCCTTCTTGTCCCCATGCACAGTT